ATATTCATCAAATACCTTATATATCTGTCTTGGGGACATTTGAACGGGCAAAGTTTGCGAGGAATCCCAGCAAACGACATTAGGCGAGTGCTACCGGATCCCTGATTTGTAACTTCCCCAAAGTAGGTCGGGATTGGGAATTAATTGTCTTTTAGGCCGGTTTTGAAGACTTTCTGCCGGTTTCTTGCCGATTCTAAGCGTCTGCAAAATTAATTCTTCTGTTTTCAAGTGTTTTTGGAATTTGTCTTTATTTGATTCGTTATTATTGAAAGGATTGTGATAACTCTTTAGAAGTTTTAATCAATGTTTGATTTTGTGATTGAATTTGATGCTATTGCGGTTTGTTGTGCATAATTATAATTGGTTTCAAAGCTGTTGTATTATGTTATCATAATGTTTTGGATATTTCATAGCCTTATTTTCTAAATAAATACTAATAAAATGAATATTTACTCGATTATACTGTCTCAAACAACACCATTGAGAAACACAAAACATTGTTGAACGTTAAAACATTAAATGCAAAAATATGATCAGGAAAACAACCTGACAAAGTTGAGGTAACAAAAACTTTCAAGTCGGGAACTGAAGCAACATCAACATCGTTCCCACGTCTTAAGATAGAACAAAGCAAAACATTTGAGACATCTTTGTGGGAGTTGCATTGTATTGTATTGTGAAACGAAACTATAAAACAGAAACAAATTGTTCATAGAGTTACTATTTCATTTCTTGACTTGACTTGTGTCGCTTGAAATATGGTGTTTAATTTATGTTACATTGTTTAAGTCAGTCTGTCTCGGTCTTTGAGTTGTCGCTAGGGTGATTGTTGGTCTAGTAGTATTTGATTCAATTTTGTAGTACAGCATGGTCTAGTCTGTTTTTTTTTCACAGCTAGAAACAAGAATGAAGTTTGGATTTTTGCTCGGTATATAGCAATGAGTTGGCCTCCTATTTAGGTATGGGACTCAAAACATAACTGTTGAAAAAAATGTTTCTGCATTGTATACATGTGCACCTCTGCACAATGGCCCTTTGGGAAATAAAAGTCGTAGCATTTAACCATTAAAGTGCGTTGCGCTCAATCATAATAAAATGACAATTGCAAACAATTAAAATTATAGTCCACATAGCTCTGAAACTGTAGTAATACATTCATATATCAAATCGCAATTACACGTTAAATTAACACTGTTGCATATCGGAACCAAATTAGTAGCGAATTAAGCTGATTATTAAATAGCTATCCAGCTGTGCCATCATTGTTTACACATAGTGTGTAAAAAATTGATTATATTTATATTGGTCAACGAGTTGCAAATGCGTCTTTTGAACACGAAAGTACTAAGTTCAATCAGTGTTTGGCAAGATAATCACAAAATACTTTAGAAGTATATGTAAGTCTCCACTTTTTGGACTTGAGAGACAATGGCCGCTGTTTGTTTGTTAGTTTGTTTCGGCGTTTCTTCTCAGAGTAGTCAGTTAGGAAATGCCGGCCGTCATCTAGTAATTCAAAGATTGACGTGTTACTTTGTAACCTATAAACAGAAATTAATATAATTTCATCAGTTCACACAAACTATATATACGTTTATTTTTTTTATAGCATAAGCTGGTAAACGAGCAGACGGATCACCTGATGGTAAGCAATCGGCGCTGCCCATGGACACCCAAAACACCAAGGCGTTACAATTTGAGTATTGTGGCGGATTCGGGAGACTAGGGAGGGGGGTAATTGGGCCTCCGGTAACCTCACTCACACAACGAAACACAACGCAAGCGTTGTTTCACGTCGGTTTTCTGTGAGGCCATGGTATCACTCCGGTCGAGCCGGCCCTTTCGTGCCGAAGCATGGCTCTCTCACACTTAAAATAAGTTCACAAAACTATTTATTGATTTAATAGTATAATTATAAATAGTATACACGGATTTTTTTATTTTATTCTGGCAGACGAAACTGTACGATAGTTAACACATAAAACAAAATATCCCTTGATCCCTTTTTGGGATAAAGAACCCTAAAAACCAGTTGTTTATCCAGAATATTCCAGAATGCATGTTTACAATACCACAAGCATAGCGGGAAATAAACCCACAAAATACATATATCGCATAGTGGGCCGCGGCGACGGCGCGGCGGTCTATCCCAAATTTTTTTCCAGGAAAACATTGTGTTAATAAATTGTGTTAACGTCGAAAAAAATATTTGTCCACCTGTTGCCCTGTTAGCCCCACTGTTATACGGTAATGGGCTAAACTATTTCACTCGTTATATATAGAGAAAATTGGTACTTTTCAGTTCATTTGGTGCTTTCAGTGAAAAAAGGTTATTTTTATTGGTTTTATTTTAAAAATAACGGCCCAATAATCCTCTCGCACAATTTTGATGTTGAACAAATTGTGTTGGGGTTAAAGTTAAAATGCCCTGTATATTATATATCTTTTTATTGTTTTTCTTTTTGAATGTGCCTCCGGTTTGATTTCCCATGACAGATATATGAATTTTATGATTGAATCATATTTGCTTAATCTTCTATCCATAATTGGAGTACAATTTTCGGAAAAAACACAAAATTATACTTTGAAAATCTATTGTGCATCGATCTGCAACCTGCATAACATACGTGTAGATTATGGCAAAACCTTTAAGGTGTAAGAGCTCTTTTAGACTATGACTCCATATTCCAACTGAGGACCACCATAAATAAACAACGAACCAATTCATTTTACAAGCACTAAACAAATCACAAAGCAATTTATATCACCAAGCGGCAAAAAATCGTTCAGTGCTGCCCTCCATAGTTCACGGACTACAAGAAACAAGCAAACATTTATTCAGAATAAAGTAAAGTTGAGAGAGCAATAAGATTAATGATTCTCTTGTCTCTTCCTGAACCTAGGTTAGGGAATTGCTAAAATCCTATTATTTGGTTATCTGTCTAGAGTAAATTGGACAGTTCTGCTACAGGCATTGTGTTTCGTGAAATATTAACGAATATTGTACGCAGGCTTATTTTGAACATATAATTTTCAAATACGACATGATTGTATGTTCTTGAGTCTTATGTTTTTGAGTCTAAAAAAACTATGCCCCACTTTTTATGATACTACAGTATGTAAGGAGTACTATTATGGCTGCAGCACTATCAGGAAATACTTACAAAATCCACTTTCTTGAGACCGATTACATCTAAACGAGCTGTTGAGGTAGCTTCAGAATTACTCAATTTTTTTCTAGTAGTCGGTTGTCCCAACATTTTACAAAGTGACAGCAGACGCGAATTTGCAGCTGCGGTTATTAAAGAATTGATATCATTGTGGCCTTCTTATAAAATAGTTTATAGCAGGTCAAGACCTCTGGCGATGTACAAAATATGCTTCGATAATAACTAAAGAAATGGTCAAGAATGGTGAAGAAGAGAGCTCCATATAAAGCATTATTTTAAGAACTCCATATTTAGTACAGATCCCAAAGTAGAATTGGATGCTCCCCGTACTCCAGTGAATGTAGTAAATGAAATAATAACCGAAGATTTGACAGAGATGATATAGAAAGCGCGCAAGAAACAGAAATTTTGACAAAATCTGATGTAGAAATTGCACATAAAACGTCAGAAGAGAGTAATGATGCAGCAAAACAAATGATTGTTAAAAATAATTATAAAATGTTTACTTGATAGAATGTCTAGAGCAAAATGTTTGTAACGATGACGAAATTAAAACCTTATTTTGTAGGTAATAAAAATTATCCAGATTAAATCACAATTTTATTTTATTACTTTCAAGAACAATGTTCTGTATTTTATTTAGGGCCTGTTATACCACCGTCATTATTATTACCAGATTTAGATGGTAGATAGCTCATTAAGGTTCTAAGTAGAATTTTTATCATACTTTATTATATTATTTGATTGTCATTATTGCTTACACACTTTCAAAATTTCGGAAACATAATCGTTATGAATAATTTCGAGACTCTCATATTGTATCAAACGTCTTATTGGAAGTAAAATATCTGGGTCGTTCAAAAAACTTATACCCAGTTATCACCTCCAAGTACGTTGGAGTTCCACCCCACGTAACGTGGAAGTCTTCATTATAATATCTCCATATAACTTCACACGGCGACAATTCGGTAATGCCAAGCGATTTACCAAAGACTATTGTCGCAGAATGGTAACTCTAACTATGTTGTTTCACATTTTTAACATAACATAACATCAAGTCTTTTATCCCCGAAGATCACGCATTTTTTTAAAAACCCAGTAATACTTTGCCCGCCCAGGGAATCGAACCCGAGACTCCTTGCTCGGCAGTCGCACTATGCTCACTAAAAAGTCTCCATGAATAATGTCCATGGTAAATGTCTACAATTTTTATAAAAAAGAAACTACTACTAATGGAAACTTAAGTAGTTACTCAGCAGTAAATTTGTAACTACAAAATAATAATACAGTACTTAGTCATTTACCCAGTTAAGTACACTTTAATAGTTATATAGGTACAGAGGCACATTATTAAACCCACAACACCAATTTCGAAACCTAAATACACATTAAAACCTAAAATAAATGAGATCTAGATCATAGATATGTACTTGCAGAAATCTGATAAGAAAAATAATAACTAAGCACAAGATTGGAACAACTAAATGACTAAACATTTTATGATAAGTCATAACAAAAGTAAGCTATTAATCAAAGGAAATTGAGTAGTTACACTAAGAAGGCTTTTTACTTCGAAATAATATTAAAATTAAGGTCTATAACCGGACTATAACAAGCAAAGTCACGTTAATACAAAGGTGAAAATAATTTGAAAGCCCTTTAAAATAAGTTAACTTTTACTTCTTAATCGAGTTCTAAACTTTAATAGTACGATTAGTATTAAATTTGTGGTAATTATAAAAGAGAGCCAATGTTGAACAAAAGACATTGGAGATTGTTTGCTAGAAATATAATAATAATAATATATAATAAAATAAGAAATGTGGGAGAGCCATGCTTTGGCACGAATGGGCCAGCTCGACCGGAGTGATACGACGGCCTCACAGAAAACAGATGTGAAACAACGGTTGCATTGTGTTTCGTCGTGTGAGTGAGGTTACCGAAGGCCCAATTACCTCCTTAGTCCCCGTCTCCCGAATCCCTGAATTCTCCACAATCCTCAAATTCCCAATTCCCAAAAGGCCGATAACGCACTTGTAACGCCTTGGTGTTTCGAGTGTGCTTACTTGCTTACTTGCTTACTTGCTTAAAAAATAATAATAATCGAATTTAAAATGAAACGTAGACTAATTGACACCAGGTGAAGAACTCCTCTTGCCGTGAGATGATGATGGAATAGAATAGTTATCACCAACCCACATGCCAAGCGCAGCAATCCAGTCTTAAAATGAGGATGCCTTCCATTAGTTATAGTCCTATATCTCCTATGGAACAGAGGTCTACAAAGGTTCTCCACCTCGATCGGTATTGAGCTTCTCGCTTTACCTCGTTCCACGTCACTCCAAAGCTCTAGGCCTCCCATAATGTATTTTTTTTATGGAAATTCCAACTAATTGGCACAGGTGGACTTTCCTCTTCTTTCCGTGGTAGCGATGGAATAACCCAACCAACCCTTGCATACTTGGCAGGCCAAGTGTGACCAACCAATCTTATATGGAGAAGGCTAATTAATAGTCCAGCAGTGGATGGTCAACTTGGTGATGAAAGGTCTTTCATGTAACTGTTATCAAAATCTTGGTGGCATGAATTGGTTGTAAGACTATGATGTCGCAATCTAATAAGACTCTTAGGCGTTAAACCATCGGAGTTGCGGAGAACCTAACGGGTTACCGGGGCTCCGGCTCGAAGTGCAGGAGTAGGAACGGGGTGGTTTTTAGTCAGTAAGAGTCTGACACTCCCTTACGCCTCACCCAGACGAGAGAAGCCATTCGATGATTTTCCCCCCTTAAAAAAAGGCGTTAAACCAAATCGCGTTCCGCGTTTATAAAAACACCACGTATGGGGCTTTAGGGCTGATGCTCGTACCGAAGTCGCCGAAGATTTAACGGGGGACCGGAGCTCTGACTCAGAGCAGTTGTAAGAACGAGTTATTTTTTAGTCAGTAATAGTCTGATACTCTCTCTCGCTTTACTCAAGGTGGGAGAGGGTATGTAGATGACTTTCCATCCTCACAAAGAGCGTTAAACCAAGACTAAATCATTTATCAACGTTTCGTTACCATTTTTTTTAAATAGACCATCCTCGCAATTTCTTAGTCTTTGACACCTCACATATAACAAAACCGGGTTACTTGGCAGGAATGAAGTGAAGAAAATGTAGTCACCCCTGTATAGGCGATATCGAAAACAAATGAGTTTAGTTAGTGCCCCGACTCGGCTCTTGTTTAGGGTTGTGCTGAAATTGAACGACGTAAAAGGATTTCAGGGCTGTGCTATCTGATTTTGTATTTGAATACGTTGATGTGTGATGGTAGCTGATGTGTTGTGGATTTTTTTTGGAGTTATTTCATAGTGAGCATCGTTTTGTCTTGGTTTCTTATTGTTTTTTGTGATGGTACTGATCATAAGATTCAAGATTTAATTACAAATAAATAGTATTTCTTTTTATTTTGTGAAATAAATTGCGTTTTATTTTGCGAAATGAATTTTAACATCGGAATAAACATAAAGGGGTATGCACAGTAATTATGCCATTTTGCATAGGTATTATATTACAGATTTTAATGTCCAAATACAAATACAAATACTCAATGCAATTTAGAATTGATTGAATGAATAAAAATGATGTCACAGAAGCCTTGTGTGCCTCCATTACTGTTTAATACCCGGACATACATAAAAATGCAAATAAAAGTTAATTTTCATTGCATCCAGAAGGATTATTTAACGACCCAATCAATTTTTATTACACCTTTAAAAGGGATGTAAATGGCTGTGTTTGCATTCATATTTCATTAAAAAAACTGTTCATATTATATAATTATGTATATCGATCCTTATTACGAATTAATTAGAATTTGTTATAAAACAATGGTAAAAAGTTAGAAAGAATTAGGTAATTCTATTTTTTTTCTTTTTTATATATTTGATGGGTCGATGTTTGTCTACTATCTCGCCTGGTGGTAAGCGATGATGTGGTCTACGATGGAGCACGTCGTCCAATAAGCAACCTATTCCTACCTTGAAGACACCTAGGTTACAGGATACCCTTCAGGAAATACAGACTCTGGCAAAGAATTCCACTGGGATATTTTCCTACTTCATTCTAATAAATTTTACATTGATAAAAAATTGCACGTGATGCAAACTTTTCATATGACAAAAGAACTTTTAGATTTTTAATTCAGAAATTCTAAATTATAGAACAGCCTGTTGGTACTATTTTGACTCTCATAGACTCAATAGACTCTCTAATGGGGCTAACATTTATTTGAGCAAATATAGAAAGGCCTTTTTTTGTCCAATCACAGCAACTGTCTAAATTGAACGTCCAACTAGCTAATTCTCTATTGGATGAACATAGCATTTTGTGCGATTAGCACCATCTTGTGAGAAAAAATACGATAGGCCCAATTGCTAATATAGTATGTGGATATAGATAAAGAATAAAATTAGATAGATGGCACAAAATTGGTGCAACTACATAGCAGAATCTGTACCACTATATCTACTTATAATGTTATCCTGAGTCTGAATTTTTACTATTTAACAATTTCATTCTACTTAGATACTTGACTGTACTCCACCCAAACATACGTCTCCATCAATAATTCAGAATCTAATTGATCAATCCAATCAATCTTATCGGCGGCCATTGTCAGAACCAGTCAGTAAGTAAATACCATTAACTTGAATTTGTAATTTTGAATGTTGATGAGTTTCCTGTTTCATTTCAAACTGATACTATTACACTCGATGCAGAATGAATAATGGATGACTGGATGTACAATAGTCTTTGTTACTTACTTTGCTTAATTTATTTTTAACCTAAACCGACTTAAAAGAAGAAAGAGGCTTTTAGTTTGTCTTGTATGTATGTATGTATGTTTGATGTGGTTATCACAAAAGTGTTTGTTACATTTAGGAAAAGGTTTTAGTATGTTAATTAACCGACTTTTAAAGGGCGGGGGGGGGGGGGGTTGAAATCGGTTTTTAAATACTTCATTAAAGAATTATTTTTTTGTGTTGTTTGTTGAGAAGATAGAGGAAATATTCAAAATTATTATAATTCAATACAAAATAACCCGTTGTGTCAATCCACTGCAGGATTATAGATCTCTCATTAGATAACATTATCATGCCGGCAGACGGGCTGGAGAAAAAAAAAGACGGGTTGGAGTCCAATGTTTGAGGACCCACACTTTATTTATCTACAGTTTTAGTTACCTACAGTTTATTAGCCAGTGTTACTACCCAGTGCCTGTCATATATTATAATTATCGTTTCTTAAAAAGAGTATGCGTAATGAGAAATCTATCATACAGCTCTACCACGACGCGTGACACAGTAATATAAATGTGTTAGAGGTAAATCTATATTCTAGAAGACACATTCATCATCTATAATTATGGTTTCTTAAAGAGTATGTGTAATCAGAACTCCACCACATACAGCTCCACCACGACGCGTGACGCAGTAATATGAATGTACTAGAAGTAAATCTATATTCTTGAAGACACGTTCATCATCAAAACCACAACAGATGGCAAAATAACAATAATAACCATAATCATTAAGGAAATAGAGTTTAAAATGCAATTAACTATACTTTATTAAAGTAAACTTTGCAGCCACTAACCGCTGATGATGTCTTATACAAATCCGCAGTACACATGTGGCCACATAGGGAACTGTTTAACATGAAACTTGGAGCGATTTATCATAAAATGCCGTACGCACGTGTAGCCCGTTCCTAGGAACTATTGAGGTGGGTTCCTAGTGAAGGCGGGGAAAAGTTTAAAGGTATTTTAAAGACTGGAGTGGAGAAGTAAAAAAAATGTAATCGCGCTGTACTCAGATTCTTTTGTACGTATGCTACTGTTCTTAATATCTTACACGAGGAATCTAAAATCTAATTCAACGTATTCACGAGGAATATAATAAGGATTACCACGGACAGAATTTTAATGATTGACAATTGAAATGGCATTACGACCCTGTTTTACAAATAAGATACTTTATACAGGTGACGTATATGGTTGAAATTAGCTAATCACTTATTAATAAATCAAAGAACAGTTACATTACTAACAAGAGCCCCAAGCAACTTAAAAAGTAGTAATAACTAGCTTCTGCCATAAGAACCTTCTCCTGACAATAAGAAACACAACAAAAAAAATCAGCCAAATCGGTCTAGCCATTCTCAAGTTATGGCGTGGCAACGGGAAACTGGTTTCATTTTTATATATATGGATTAAGATTCAACATCAGAACGCAAAAAAATTATACAATAGTCACACGCAATTATAGCCACAAACCGCTTATCGCTGACACATGAACCACCGCTTAACTAGGTCATCGATTTAGCGGTTAACGCCTTATAATAATTCACGTATTCGAGCCCACTGATTGGTCTTGCCGCTTCATGCATGGGATGAGTCGACTGAATACACACATACATACATCTATCACGCGGTTTTGTTCCCCATAGTCACAATGCCACTAAATATACAGGTAGTTAGGGAGATCGTTCTTAAGCGTGATTAAAATCGGTCGTATTACTTAAAGTTATGTTTCGGTAACTGTGATCAGCGTATAAATTGAGAACCAGTTTAACTTATCGAATTTCTACCGATAGGAACATACATAACATAACATCACGCCTTTTTATCCTCAAAGGGGTAGGCAGAGGTGCACATTACGGCACTTAATGCCACTGTACAATGTAACACCCACTTTTCACTATTTATGTTATGAGTCCCATGTAATAGGGGGTGAGCCTATTGCCATATACCGGGCACAATTCCAGACTCCGTGCTACTACTGAGATTTTTAAAAACCCAGTAATACTTTGCCCGACCCGGGAATCGAACCCGAGACCCCTTGCCCGGCAGTCGCACTTGCGACCACTCGGCCAACGAGGCAGTCTGATTGTTTTTGTTGTTTGTTATCGTCAGGAGAAGATTATTATGACAGAAAAATAATCCTGAAAATCCTACGGAAACGGTAGTAAACGAGATTGCGCGTACGAAGTCGCGGGCAGAAGCTAGTATCATAAAAAAGGAATGAATAACTGTTTGATTAACCAATAACTAAGCAAAAAAGAAACCAGAAAAAAACGAAGTAAATTTTTTTCGTCAGAAATAGAAGTCAAAAATAATCAAACAAACTTACGTCCCGATTATAACATACATAGTAAGGATTCTTTGTAATCATATATGGGGTATTATGACGTCAGAGAAATGTAGGGTAATTAGTTCATTCATGACCGTTTTTGGGTTTAAATGAGGATGACGGTTGTTTGAATGTTTTCCCTAACGAGTAGGGAGCCGACCCCTTTTAATTGTTTAGCTTTTTCTGTCTTTGTCCCGGCTATTTACCTGTCATACCCATAGAGGGTTTTAGTCTTATTTTGAGATATAAGTGTCTAGACAAGAGAGTTTTCGACCCCATTTTGAGGATTCTGAAGATAATGTGACTAATGAGTGTTATTTGTCTGTGTTTGAAATATTCATGTCTATTTTGATTTTTTTTTGTAAAAATACATCAGACAATCTCTTCATTTTTTTTATAAACATGTACTAATGTTATAAGTTAGAAACTTAAAAGTATACTGTAACAGGATCTTTACAAATTATAAATGTAGGCTGTATTGTCTAATATCGTTATACCAGAATCGAAGCCTGAGTATTGAGACTCACCAAAGCCCTCAATACCTACAGCTTTTTTTTTTTTTTTTTTTAAATTAAACGTTGCCCCACACTAGGATTTTCTCCTGTGTCGTGGGTGCGTTTACAAACATACAAATTCACATACATCACTCAAACAAAAATGTTCACTAACACAAAATCGGATAAGTGGCTAAAGAGCATAATCTATCAGCACTGCAATTCCGTCCAACCCTACAACAGCCTAAATACTAAATGGTTTGAGTCAAATGGACTATTTTGACATTTTGGGGTCTCATTACCCATTTCTTTGTCTTTATACACTTTAAATGGGCAACTTTAGGCCTTGTTTTTTGCCCGGCTGTTATGATCGCGTGGCTAATTCTTTAGGCCTATCTCGGCCAACCGCTCGTCGAATATATTAGGGCTGGTGTACAAAACTGGTTCATAAATAAGGGGTGTCCGTAAACGGTTCTCTTTTGTTTTGTGATGAGTTTACTTATTTGGTTATTTTAGCTAATGGTCGGTTTATAAGGTTTAAAGTCGTGTGTTCATTGGAGGTAGTTTGTTGTGGATAATAGAGTAATGTTTTTGCTTTGTACGTGGTAATATTTCTTTAGTTTTTTTTTAAACTAATTAGCTTCTTTTTTAAATACGAGCCACATAATGGTGTTAGTCATTACAATAAAATAAAATACTTCAGATAATATTATAGTGTTTATTACTACAAAAACTAATCTTGCACTACCTAAACCTACAACTAAAATCAAGTTCCTAAATCTAAAACAAATCCTAATCCATTAATTCGTATCCTAAGCCCTAAGGGAGCTAAAATCATGACTTTGGCATAATTGTAGCATTCCTGTCGACAAGTCCACAGAACCTAAATAGCCTATGAATACATCGTACGCTTCATTGAACAGAGAGTCGACGGAAACAGAAAATATCGTGTTTTGTCACGAAATATTTGACGCTTCGTATTTGTTTTAGGTTGAAGTTAAGGTTTTTTTGTAAGAAATGCAATGACAAATAATACCATGCCTTTTAGACCTCGAACGGGTAAGCAGAGGCAGTAGGTCTAGACATACGATGTAACACTAATTTTGCACTAATTTCGTTATTCGAGTCCTATGTAACAGGACTGCCTCGTTGGCCGAGTGGTCGCAATTGCGACTGCCGGGTAAAGGGTCTCGGGTTTGATTCCCGGGTCGGGCAAAGTACACCTGGGTTTTAAAAAAAATATCAGTAGTAGCACGGAGTCTGGAACTGTGCCCGGTATATGGCAATAGGCTCACCCCCTATTACAAGGGACGCATAACATAAATAGTGAAAAGTGGGTGTTACATTGTATAGTGGTATAATGTGCACCTCTGCCTACCCCTTCGAGGATAAAAGGCGTGATGTTATGTTAAGTAACAGGGCGTGGGCCTATTAGTTAGATACTGATCAGGAACACCTACTGATCAGGAATCGAAAATCTCTGGTAATACGTAGTTCAACCCAGCAATCGATTCTGGAAGTTCTCGCTCGGCAGTTGCACTAGCAATAATTTAAACAATGAAGAAGTACAGCAGTATACCAAAACAAACAACAACGTTTTGGAAAAAGTAAAGAAAATCTCGTTTTCCTAACATTTAACCTTAAAAAGTTAAGATAAATAAGCGTTACAGCTTATTTTCAGTGAGCTAGCACGAAGCCTTAAAGAAGATTTTTATGCATGAAGTTATAAAAACATGGGAAGCATAATTTCCAGTGTATATAAATTCATATCTTTTACGACAGCACGTTCTTTGATGATTTGTGTTTCACTGGAATTGTGCTTATACGCTTTTGTAAAACGGGAACATAATAAACTTTGTGTTTGTTAAGGAAAGTATGTTTTGATGATATGACTAATTTTGTTTAGTGTATAATTTTCAGTTATGAACTTAACTTTTTAGCTTAATCTTAAACTTATTATTTTGCTTTGGGACTCATATACGCACTCACCATTACCATTACCGCAAAAGATGCTAACAACATAACTAACAAAAGATACTTATTTAAAAGTAACTATTATCATCGCGACTTCGTTCGCGTGGAATTGTGATTCACAGCTCTTCCCCCGTAGATGATAGCGTGATAATATGTGCCCCGACCTGTTAGTAACATTCATGAAAAATTTGATATAATTCCATGCAGTACTTTTGCAAATCACCCCGGACATAGATACAGACAAACAGACAAAAATTCTAAAAACCATATTTTTGGCTTCAGTATCGATTGTAGATCACGCTTCGGGTATTCTATTTAAAAAATATTCAATGTACAGTTTTGACTTTTCTACGATTTTATTATATATAGAGGTAGGTATAGAAGATAAAGATAACAACATCAATATACCGAGACACACATATTCTACAGATTTTTCAGGTCAGTTGGAGATCGCAGTATAAAAAGAAATTCAAATTTCTCAGAGAATGATGGTCTCTTACAAAGATATAAATTTAAAAGTAATATACCCTTTCCCAAAAAATCCTTAAACATATAAATAGGGTTTTAGCTCAAACAGCATTTTTATAGCATATCTAGAATATAAATTCACATAGACGGACTCCAATAACAAGAAATCGTCGTAAAATCTACATTGGTATAGCCAGGAAAATAGAATCAATTCGGCTCAGATATAAAACGAGAAAGTTGCAAAAAAATCTAGTTCGCATAGGTACAAATTGACTGCCGTATCGGTCAACTGGCCCCCAGCACGATTCCCTAACAATGAATCTTGAATTAGATTCCAAAGTATCTAATATCCTAACTATGACTGCCTCATTAGCCGAGTGGTCGCAAATGTGATTCGGCAAGAGGTCTCGAGTTCGATTCTCGGGTCGGGCAAAGTATTACTGGCTTTTTTCAAAAAATCTCAGTAGTAGCACGGAGTCTGGAAATGTGCCCGGTATATGGCAATAGGCCATATTACATGGGACTTATAACATAAAATAGTGAAACGTGGGTGTTACATTGTACAGTGGCATTAAGTGCAGTAATGTGCACCTCTGCCTAGGTAGTGTTATGTTATGTAGGAGTTTATGTCTATATTATTAATTTCATGTGTGTGTGGACAGCCACTGCGTCGTGTGTTGCGGAATGCTCCTCATGCATATGAGCCTATGAGTACCTCGTCAAACAGTTAGGTGAGTAAGCCGAAAGCATTAATAATTAACACGGAGTTTCAAAATGTGCCCGATGTATGACCATAGGTTCTTTTTATATGGAATAGGAGGCAACCGAGCAGACGGATCACCTGATGGTAAGCGATCAGCGCCGCCCGCAGCACCAGAGGAGTAACAGGTTCGTTGCCGGCCTTTTAAAAAGAAATATGCTCCCTATTACATGAGATTCATAATACACCTGGCGAAAATGAACTAGGTATTATATTGTATTCATACTTTCATACCTATTAAACTCTCCGAAGAACCTCTGACTCCCCTTTCTATAAAAACACGCAACATTATATTATGATACTCCAATACTTTAAATCCTAAACCTGAATAAAAACAGATAAACTCACAAATGATCTGATCAGTTAGTGTGCTCACGTAAACTGGATTTGTTCTTACGTGGTACCTTATTTCAGTAGTCAGGTGTGTACACACCACATATAAAGCTATACTTCTCCAGTTTATCTTGGTCCCGCTTTGTATGAACTTCCAATATGATTACAGGTCAGTTTATACTGGTTTTGTATAGATTGATGTATAGCCTATGTCTATGTATGTAGCCTATATAGTATATACTCAGTATTACGTTAGCACTCAAGGGAAATTAGGAATGTCTGTGGGATCTATTGCTACTGAAATATAATTGAAAAGTAGGTTTTATTATCATGTGAGAAAGCGAACGTAATGTGTATAGATAAATCATACTCCGTTCTGTTGAATATGTATTCAATTTCAGTCAGAAAAATTGTTTAATTTTTCTGTTCGTTTTTTTCAAGTGTTGTTTTTCAATAATGATGGACATTTTTATTCTTTCAGTTCGCAAACTGAGTAAGTTACGGCTATTGAAATATACTAATACCGCACGGTGCAATTAAAGACTAAGTACCTAGTTGCAGTTGTCGACAAGATCACAACCATAGGGTAAGTAACATTATTCACAACTCGATAATAAGACATTAGAACATAAAAAGAATAGGACTTAAGACTAAACAGTAGCAATTATCAATAGGTATAGTTGGGCGATTACAAACGTATGAACTATCTTAAAGGTGCTCCCTCACCGGGAGCATTCGCGTGTAATGTAACGTTACAGATCTGAGCATTACATCAGTGAAGGAGGAGAACCGAGCATTACAATGCGCACCTTGTAATGATACAATGTGTAATATCTTGATACAACTAGTAACATCAATGTCTGACATCTTGCTATGAAATGCTCAAAGTCGAATCTAAATGTTACACGCAAATGCTCGTTAGTCAGGGAGGTATTATTGTAATGTAATGCTCAAAGTCGAATTTATAATGTTACATTACACGTGAATGCTCCCAGAGAGGGAGTACCTTAAGTCATTTTTATTGGATCTCTCGATCACGACTTATCTAAGTCACACAACTTGCATTGTCATATTCCTCTGACGTGACAGTCCGCACGTTTTGTAATGACCCAACTATAATTGGATATTTGCCAACAAGTCAAATTCAAAACTTTTTTTAAACTGTCAAAAACTACAGTTTACTATGAATTCTGTTCGAGATTGTGTATTGTGACGTCATGTTTTTTAGCATCCAACAGCATACTTATTTAACTAAAAATCGCGGGTTACTCACGTGAATGAATACACTGAGAAAAAAGAAAAAAGCTTCGAACCACAGAGTGGGTACGTGAGAAACCCGCGATTTTTAGTTAATTTAGGATGTCACACGAAAGTTATTATAAAAAAATGGAATACTTAATTTTTCAAAATTTGCTGGAAAAATTCTAAAATTTTGTTGGTCACAAAATCAATTTATGAATTTGCGATTGTTTTTTAATATTTTATTGCATTGAACAGTCGAAATAATTTACGTTTGATTAAGGAAAGTACCATATTACCAACGAGAAAGCCGTGCCCATAGTGTACCTAAATATTAATTAGTAAATCCAAGGAGAACCTAACGGGTTACCGGGGCTC